CCGGCATCGCTGGGTTCATTGATGGAAGAACTATGACCCCCTTGGAAGCATCGTGTCTGTCTTGATTTTTCACATTTGTGTGTTTCTGTGTTGCTTTTTCATGTTTGTGTGTGTGTGTGTGTGTGTGTGTGTGTTTCTGTGTTGCAATTTGCCTATCTTGTGTTTGGCTCTCTCTTCTAGATCTATTTGGCATCTTCTTAGTAAGCAACTGACTCTAGAGGGATCATTACCACAACTAATCGATATAGGGAGACCCAGCCCAGTGTGAGCAGCACCATTCTCTAGGCCTGAACCCTGCGAGAATGAAAAAAGCTACTTAGCGAGCAAGGGGGCAGCATGGGTACATTCATTTCTCCCTTCTCATTGTGGATGTGATGACCAATGGTCTCAGGCTCCTGACTCTGTGACATCCCTTCAATGACAGCCTGCAATCTAGAATTGAAAGTTAATATAAACTAGATAATTCCTTGGCTCAAACTCTTTCTGGGTGATTCTAGGTTGTGTCAAGTTGACAGTTAAAACCAACCTTCCCCCATTAGTTGCTTTTGGTTAGACTCCTTTATCAAAACAATAGGAATGACGCTAAGGAAGACTTGAGCTACTCCTGTATCATCCTTCCAAGAACTGGTTTAACCCATGAACCACCACTCCCTGCTCTAGTTTTAATATTACCAAAGCAGAGCCTGCTTTCTGGTGTATCTTTTCTTATCTTTTACAATGCCGAGAATGAAATAATGGCCAGGATTTGTATCCATCAACTATACAACTACCAGTTCATCATCTACCTAGCATCTCTGCCACTGTTCTCAGGACAATGCCACAACTTCATCTGCTGCACTTTTAATGTACCATGTAGATGTCTTTGCATTTACCCTGTGGGGTGTGTCTGAGAATTCAGAATGGATAGTTTGCTTTTTCAGATCACCATGGAATATTCTATGATGTGGGATTATGTTCTTGTTCATTGTAAGAATTTGTCACTCATATTGGTTTGATAAAATGCTGATTGGCCAGTAGCCAGGCAGGAAGTACATGTGGGGCTACCAGACTAGGAGAATTCTGGGAAGAGGAAAGGCAGAGAAGAGTCACCAGCCAGACACAGAGGAAGCAAGATGACAATGACTTACTGAGAAAAGGTACCAAGCCACGTGGCTAAACATAAATAAATAAGTATGGGTTAATTTAAGTTGTAAGAGTTCATTAGTAATAAGCCTGAGCAATAGGCCAAACAGTTTATATTTAATATAAACCTCTGTGTGTTTATTTGGGACTGAATGACTTAGGATCCGGTGGGACAAAAATTTCTGTCTACAATTCTGGCCCAGGATTTCCAAGCTTTTACTTTTCTGCTGTATTTTCTCCTCTTTGGAACTGAAAGGTACACATGGCCAGAGTCCTTTGCGTCTCCGACATATCCATGCCTCACTGTTCCCTTCATTGCTGGAGTTAGCACTGTGCTGGCTTGATGTCCACCTGCAGCATTTCTACACTCTACCTCTGGCTTACAAGCACACCCGTTCCCCAACGCAGCACAGAATGCCAGGGAAATGGGAAGTTTCACGCTTGCTCTCACAATCAGGTGTCTTGCAGGACCACTTTGCAGGTTATCCCTTTCCAGTTCCCACTCTCCCTCCCCATCCTCCTGAAGGATCCCCAGTCCCACAGGCTTTTGAGAAGGCTGGGGTTAACTTTCCAGGATGAGCAAATGGGTCATCTTTGCAGATTGCTCTTGACCTTGGCTCTTACAGCTGCACTGCGTTAGGACCGGTGGCTTTAAACATGACATGGACCCAGCTGCTCGGAGCACTTGTGAGTCTGTCTTTAGGTGCTTCAACCCAGGAGCTGAGGCCTCGTGTACTCAGCACCATCTCTACTATACTTATTCTTTATTTCAAGAGGAAACCCACCAATCTGTCTGCGGTTAGTGTTGTCAACCCAACACAAACTAGAATCACCCGAGAAGAGTCTCTACTGTCTAGATCAGGTTGGTCTGTGGGGACTATCTTGATTGCCTTACTTGATGTGGAAGACCCTGCCTGAAAATGGGTGGCACCATTGCTTGGCTCAGGGCCCAGGTCTGTGTGGGTAGAGAACACTAGCTGAATATTAAACTTCCATCAATTCATTCTTTCACTCTTGACTATGGTTTCCACTATCTGCTTCAAGTTCCTGCCTCTACCTCCCTATAATAATGAACTCAGAATCGTGAGATAAAATAGACCATTCCTCCCCTAAGTTGTTTGTCAAGGATTTTTTAAGCAACAGAATGAAACTAAGGCAGAAATTGTTAACTGTGTAAATGGAGTCATTGCTGTGTCCTAACCACGTGGCTTTTAAAAGCCTCTACAGCTATCCAGGGCAAGAATGTGGAAATGTATGGCATGTTGAACTGGAAAAGTGATTGAATGCTGGAAGCATAGCTCAGTGGGTAGCTATGAGGGAACTTGGAAGACAGTAATGCTGAAAGAAACATGAACAGCAGAAGTATGGCTTAAGGTCTCAGTGGGGGAACACACTCCTAGGGTAATTGCGGGAAGAAGCCATCTGTGTGGTATTTTGGACAAGAATCAGGATTCATTCTGCTTGTGTTCTGAGAACCTAAAAGAAGTTGATCCTAAAGATAATGGGCTAGTTTTTTGGCTGAAGAAGTATCAAGGCAGGTTGATGTTTGGGCTGGTGCTGAGGCAGCAGCTGTAACTGACAAAGATCAGCATCATGGCTGAGAAACCTCCTGTACTGCAGTGGGGTAAGAGGAAAGAGTTTCCTCAGGGTCAGCACAGCTGATACAGCTGTGGTCCAAGGGGTCCAGGCTACATCCCAGACTGGCAGCAGACCCTGGTGGTGTTGTGTCATCCATGGGGTACTGGTTTTGAATGCAAAGATGTCAGATTGGGGGAATCATGGAAAATAGCTGATGCTATTCAGAATATTATCTTAACTAGACAAAGACGTGTTACATTTGTTTAGTGACTAGCGCTCTGGTCTGAGACAGAGTTCTTCCCTTGGGAAGTTCCCACCATCTGGCTCAGCACACTCGGGTTCATTCTGCGGCTCTGGAGACTGTTGAGGGATCATTATTGTTCTGAAAGCTGATATGGAGGGATGTGGAACCAAACGTCCTGCCCTTCTCATACATCGATGACTGTGGGGAGGATTATAAACTTTGAACGTTTAAGCTCACGGATTATTCATCCACAAGTGGCTGACTTCTGGCATGGGAGTCAGGTGGCACCCGTGGCACTTGCTGAGCCTGCATCTTTACATACTCCCTGGCCTAGCCCGTTCTGTGTCGGGCAGCACTCTGCAGGCCAACCTTCTTCTGCGTTGGTGCCAACTCCACAGTCTCTCCTCCAGCCAGTGCCTGTGCCTCCTAGCAGCATTGTCCTCTGCTCACTCTGGGTCTTGTCAGTTGGAAAGAGGGAGGAAATACTACTTACCAAGAAAAAAATCAGAAATTTCCAAGACAAATTCAAGATAGCTTGCCTTCAGCAATGTGAACAATTGCTAATTGCATTCTATGGTTCTGTAAACCATGAAACCACTGGCAAGGCAAAGTCACAACATGGAGTCACCTGAGATACTCTTCTGTGTAGTTCTCTTCGTGTGAGCAGGTGAGCCCACATACAGCTGAAACCCCTCCTACTCACCTCAAGCCAGGCTCATCATGAGATCTGCCCACTCCATCCAGCCTCAGTTACTCAATAAACTACATCACCAACCTAAGGACACATCTGGGTCTACCCCCAATGTGCTATTAAAAGCAGAGGCCATCCATCCATGCATCCATGCATGCAGACTATGTATCATGTATCTACACCTCAGATATTAGTGCCCTTATTCTCAACACTCTGACTTCTGAGGTCTCATTTCCTCAGCTGTTAAACATTTTAACATCATTTCTCAGGATTAAATAAAATGGAAATTTACAAAATATTTCCAAATGATTTTTAAAGATTGTATTTCCAAAAATGATTTAAAAAGAACCAATGAAAACAAGAATTATGTAACACACGAGTCACAGGTGAAATAATTTCCTTTTAATTAAATTCTAGAGCAGTGGTTCTCAATCTATGGGTTGAGACCTCTGGGGGTTTAAGTGACCCTCTTCACAGGGGTCACTGGAGACTATTGGAAATCAGGTATTTATGATGGGGAATGCCCTTCTGTGTATGTTTATCTTATTGGTTGGTGAATAAAACACTTATTGGCCAGGCAGCATGGCAGGTAGGACTAGGAGACAAGGAGGATTCTGGGAAGTGTAGGCAGAGAGGAATTGCCATGTGATCCCAGGAAGTGACATAGCTGGGCAGAAACTGCCACTAGCTGACCATGGAGGTCTGTACAGACAGGCAGGAAGTGACATAGATGGGCTGAATCAGCATATAAGTAGGGGCAAACAGGAAATCACTCTTCTCTTCTCTCAGGAGACATGTAGGAAGCCAGAGGAGTAACAGATCCCCAGACCTTTCATGGGTAAGAGAAGACCATGTGGAAATAAATTAAATTAGTAGTTATGGATTAATAATTAAGACAGAGCTAGCCAAATAAACAATAACCAACAGCCATTAGTTTCACAAATAATGTGAGTCTTGTGTGTTCATTTGGGGCTGAAGCGTCGGCCAGGCCTAGCCAGGTCAAGAATCTCACACTATATATTTATATTATTACGATTTCATAACAGCAGCAAAATTAGTTAAGAGGTAGTAAGGAAAACAGTTTGATAGTGGGGGTCACCACAACCTGAGGAAGTGAATTAAATAAAGGGTTGCAGCTTTAGGAAGGTTGAGAACACTGGTCTAGGGGAAGACTCAGAGAAAAAAAAGGATGGATTTGAACTAAACACATTACATACATGTATAAAGTATCCAAATAATAAAAAAATGAAAAAGGTTTTAACTCTTAAAAAATTATTTTTGAGACAAGGGCAAATTATAAATGTGCTCACAGTAAGACTAAAATGCGAAATTTCTAGAAACAGCTTGAGATGAAACACTTAAGAATTCAATTAAATATTTATTGAACAAATGCAGAGTAAATGAACCAGGGCTGTTTGAACCTGAAGATCCATTAACCACCTCAAATCTTCAAGGGCTTCATAAAGGAACAAAAACAGATGCGTTCAGCGTTTCTACACAGGACGGGCACAGCAGGAGGGCTGCATGGGCCATCCCAGCTCGGGAGCTCCCTGCAGCACTCCAGGCCCCTCCCTTCTTCTGAAAGGACACATCAGAAAGTTCCCACGGACTGTCCAGTGTCCACCTCATGCAATGGAAACTTGCATATACTGGGGAAAACCTGTAGCACTGAGAAGCTCCTCCCCAGGACACGGCTCACCCTCCTCAGCAATTTCTGGTTCTACATCAGTGACTCCTTGTTCTGGGGTGGGAAGAAAGAACACATTCTCCAGGGTGTGAGTGACAATGTGGGTTGGGCACATCTGGAGACAGTCCTCCTCAAGCCCCAAGCACATCACGACAGCTAGAGGCCAATGGTATGCAAGTGTGGTGTGTGCCACAGAAGCCTCTCTGCTACTTAAAGCAGAAAGGCTCGAGTCCAGAGTCTAGTCGTTGAGAGAAACTAGACGCATAATACTGATGGTTCCAGCCAAAGGGATCCATGCCAAGGAGAACGGCTCCAGGACATTCAGCATCTGAGGAGGAAACTGTACAACTCGCTTCATCTTCTGTGTGCCTTTTATCAACCCAAAGGACACCTGGTGCACCCTGCTCAGTGAACTCAGAACACAACTCCAGTCTGTTTGCCAGTGACAGGGGGTGAAGGTGGGTCTTGAACTCAGAGTGACCAATCAGTTTTCCAGGAAAGCCACGTAGTCGGTCAGCCTGGCAAGCTGCTGCTCGTTGGGGATCGGTGGAACTGGGGCAGGCTCTGTACGATAATGAGGGAAGCACACTAAGTCAGCCAGTGGTCACATGACAGAGCACTCAACCCCGCCACCAGTCTGTGGAGGACTTTAAGATAACTTCCTTAGTGCTATCTGATTTTAGATAAAAACCATGCCTGCCAGAGGCCCAGACGGCTTTGAAAAGGAGGCAACAAGTCTCCATTTCTACCAGCCTGGTGTCTCACATGGACGTGAGCACACCTCAGAACAGTGCTGCTGCTGCTGCTGCAGGCTACGCATAGATGCAAACATGCCTAGTGTGCAGCATCTTTGAGACCACAGCTCTATCTAAACCGGTCCCCACATGTGGAACACAGGGTAAAGAGCAGTTCCTAAGTGCATCTCAAGCGCCTGGTCCAAGCAGAGCACTGCACTGTCAACAAGAGCAGCACAAGGACCAGGCGAGGATCCACCTCAGGAATCACAGGAAACGCTGAATTTGCACGCCAGGCTGTGGAGGCTGAGTACACTCCAGAACCCCAACAGGCCCTGGCATGATGGCAGGTAGTTCAGTGGCTGGGCCATCAGGTGCCACCACTGCAGTTTAGCTACAGAGATGCCTACAGTTTCCTTTTTGTAGCCATGTGTCACTACACATCTGCTGATTTAATCTCCACACATTCCAGAAAACACACCAGCAAACAATGCAACACTTCATGTCCACGTGAAAACATGTACCTGATAAAGGAATAAACCTATTAAGGGAAACATCCAGGGCTCCCGAAGCTAAACAAAAGAAGAAAAAGACAGTTATAACCAACAGAAGTCATGTCACGCTCACCCCCGCTACAAAACTGGGCTCTCAAATGGAGATACGACTGTTCACTTAAACACTTATCTCCAGCCTTCCTTAAGATCTACAACCTTGGGGTGGACAACTTACGTTGTCTAAACACCAGGTGCCCAGGGCGGGTGAAGGCCGTAGGGTTCATGCAGGAGGAAAATGAGGGCGGGACAGGGCTCTACAGACTCCAGGGAAGGACACTCCTGCACTCAGGAGGGAAGGACACACGGGAATGAACAGGCTTTCTCCTGAGCGGGAGATGAAGAGACGCAAATGGAAACAATGGGGGTGGGGCAGGGGACTGCCCTGAAAGGAAAGCTAGAGCGACTAGTTAAGTGAGTCACAGAGATGAGTCTCAAGCAGGTGACCTTCCATGGCATTCTGCTCTGATGTTCATTCGTCTCTGGGGATCCACCTACCTGGCTTCCTGGGAAGAACCATTCTTGTGGCAGAGTCAGCTTGCCACCCTTGCTCCAACACACCTGGAAATGCAGAGGTCACATACTGATGGGGAGAGCGCACGTGCCGGCATGGCCCACACCTGCCACCCGGGCACTGCTCTAGGTGCCACCCTCAGCGGGTATGTGTTTAGAAAGGGTACCACAGGGGTTGTATAGTACCCTGAAAAGACTGCAAGCCTACTTTCCTCTCTGGGGCTGGTATAATCACTGACATGCTTAGTGTTCTGTAGTAGTGACCTAATTCCAAATAGACATAAGAAACTTCTATGACTATCAGTCCCTGTAAAACAATGTAACCAAGTGTTGTTTGCTGCAATTGTGGGCGATGAAACAAACCACAAAACTCAACAAAACCCATGTGGAATTTATTGGGAAAAGGGAGCAAAGGGAGGGATAGGTGTTGGCCAACTGGGAACAAAGGTGGAAGGGAGGAACAGGTGGGCTTAAAAAAGGGAAAGATTGCACATGCGTACAGAGTCGTTATGAAGCCACATTAACGCATGATGTAGCCACAAAACAAGGGGCCCTTTGAGCTGTCTAAGTATCTGCCTGAATGCCAGTGTGCATACCCCGCCAGTTACCAGGGACTGGGGTCAGCATAATGCCAGATCTCAACACCAAAAACACACAGTTCTACCAGTGGGTTAGGAGCTGCAAAAGGTACTTTCGCATGCATAAGGGACTGGGGCAATGAACTGAAATGCACTGTGGAGACAGGACTGTCTTTTAGAGCAGGGAAGGGTAAGCCTGGGGAATCCCGCCAGTTGAGAAGGGCTTTCTTAAGCAGCTACGTCTACACAGCTGCCACAGGAACACTCCTGTGCTTGGTTACAGGTGCCACACAGCTGCCACGGGGACCCTCCGATATTTGGTTACAGGTAAAACATGCAGGTGCTGGGTGATGTGGATTTTGTTATTGCTTCCTAAAAAACCCTAATTTCCCATCATTCTCCTAGGGTTCCAGAGGAGCAACACTGAACCCATGATTTGTGGCTTCTGTTCCCCTGTAAGGAACCAGCAAGCTCCAAGTACCTTTCACAGCTTCTTCCACAGGAAGTCCAACAAAGGCTGCAAAATCATCTGCGATTATGGAGGTATAAGCTTGAGAGACCAGGGCGAAGGCGCGTCTCCTTGTTGCATCTATTGCGGGAAGGGAGGGTTGGCAGCAGGAACCAAGAGAACAGGACTCTTAGACACGGCTCTGTCATCCAGTTTTTATTTACAGTCAATCCAGACACACCCAAGCAGACACTGCAAGGCCAGAAGGTATGAGGGACCCCACACTCACACATTCCTCACATCAGATGTTGACAAAAGCCTTAGAGGTAGGAAACAACATCCACAAGACCCAAACATTTACAAATTTAGGTACAGACATTTTCAATTTCCTTTGCTCCATTTCACTTGCAAATACTAGTAGAATGGCTGAGAATACAGCTACCCCTCTTGGGAGGATCTCCAATACAGGATTCCTCCAGTGCAGGAGCAAAACCCTCATCCCCAGCACCTGTTCCTAACTTCAAGTGGGCATCAAGTCAGGACCCTGAACCCCAAGCATGAAGGTCTGACTCTCAAGAGAAGGTGCTGCCAGGCCCAAACATAAGCTATCCCTGGAAACAGCCTTCCAAATTTCCCCATGCTCACATTTCTACATTAAGAAAATTCCAGAATAAGACAAATGCCCTATCCAATCCAGCCAGTCCTCCTGTACAGTGCCCTTTTGGTAATACAAGGCTCCTCCAGGAGGCTGCCAACCTGCTTCAGAAATAACCGGATTTTACAGTTTACAATTGAGGCAATCAAACCAACCTCTTATTACGCTGAAACTCCCCTTTGCACTGTCAACCAAGGAATACAAGTCCCTTCAGGAACCTTTTGCTCCAAACTAGTGCCCTGGGTCAGACCACTCTTTACATCCCCCTCCTGGGCTCTGGGCCCCACTGTTTAAAGGTCTGAAACAACATCTCTTGCAGTACTACTGTGAACCTGGCTTGCTGGCAGTAAACAAAATGGGGCATGCCTTCAGCCACAAACGTTCTCACAGGTCTGAAAAACTGCATATACAATGGACCTGGAAATGGCTCAGTGGGTAGAGGTGTTTGCTACCCAAGCCTGGAGACCTGAGTCTGTCCCCCTGACCTCTGTAAAGGCGGAAGGAGAGAACCCCATGACCACTAGATGCACACCATGGTACGCAGTCTCCCCACATACACAGCACTCTGACACTAAGCTGCACTCCATTTCCACCACTCCTCCTTGCTGTCTTTACACCTGCTTGAGTCTCCTGCAGACATTTAGAATGTCTCAGAGGTGCAGACATTTCCCTATAAAGGAGTCAGACATTCAGTGGGAAAGAACCAAGGCAGCAAGTAGCAAGAATGTGCACCGTAACCAGCTCTCACCATTTAAAATCACTGTCTTTAGTTCAAATATTCTGGTCAGACTTTCGGAGTAGGGAATACACAGGAGCCGAACAAGAATGGAAGCGAAAAGCAGCAGGTTTGTGGAAAGGCGAGAGGGCTAACAAGAATGGAAGAACATGCAGAGGAGGGGCAGGAGTAGGCTGACAATGGATGCAAAAATAAAGGCTCTGAGTTCTAGTGCTAATCAGCAGCCTCACATTTGTCTCCCAACTTGCTCCAGCTGTGGTCCCCCTCAGCTCTGGAATTAGACATGTTCTAGAGTCCAGTAATACGGCCCTCATCTTATTCACTCAGGGTTTAGGTGAGAGTGACTGGTATGAACATCTATTCCCTCAGTGCTTTGCCAGCCCTTTCTGGCTTTCTGTAACAAACTGTTCTCACACCAGGCTCTTCAGCCAAGACAGCTCCAATTTCCCAATAGCACTGAGATGTTCAGACAGAACTGAAGGCACTATGGTTTGAACACTCTGTTCCTACAGGTCTGCGTCTGAACTCTTGGTCCTCAGCTAGAGGTGCTGTTGGGAAAGTCGTGGCACCTTTAACAGGTGAGACTGTGATTGTTCTTAACAAGAAAACAGACTTACAATACTCTAAGAAGCAAAGCACCAATCTCCGCAGCAATTCTGTTCTGAGACTGCCTTACCAGGCTGGCATTTTACAGATCATTTAGGAATCTGGAGATTTTTTTAAATCTCAAGAAAATCATCATGGATTGAATAGAACAGCCTCTCAGGCTGTGACCAGGGTTTACAAGTCAACTCTTCAGTTTTGTTTCAAAACAAGGCAATGAAGCCCAGCAGGTAGACGTGCCAAAATGAAAACTCAAATGCCTGACTCCAGCGATCAAACTCCAACATGCTACACTAGACAGAATGGGTGTCTGTGGGCGGGAAGTGACTCTTAATTTCACATGGAATCCAGGGCAAGGTGGTACTAGAAAAGATAAGACACACAGAACACTCACTGGATGAGTAGGGAGCCCCTACCCAAGTCCTGACTGTGAACCTGCAGTCCAACACGTGGAAAAGGCAGCCTGTACTTACCAGGCTGACCCCAGCCCTGCTGGTCTACCCTCCAGTGGCTCCTCCCAGGGATGGTGCCACCACAGCTCTCAAGCAGCCCCACCACACTCATGTGACCTCACTCCACACTCCTCCTCCTGCCCGTGTCTACCCTGAAATTCGGCTCATGCTTATTGAAGCATCTGTTTCCTGCTTTGTCATTTCCACTGCTCTGTTTTATGCTGACCATGTCCGACTGCAGAGAATGGACTGGTGCAGCTCTCCAGCCATCCTTACTCTCTGCTCCCTGGTACACCCATGCTCTAACCCTGCTGATAAGGACCTTCACACCAACTGAGCATCGGTCCCCAACTGCAAGAACACATTAAAGGCAGGTAGTGGCTGCAGCAATGAGGTGACAGGAAGAGTGGAACAATGTAAGAGAGATCACAGTATGAATGTGTGTGATGAGGCCAGAAGGCTAGCTCAGCGGCTAACAGTCCACATATGTTCTGCTCTTTCAAGGTCTGAGTCTGGTTCCCAGTTCCCATGCTGAGTGACTCCAGAAGATCCAATGCCACTGGCCAACATGCATGCAATGCATATGCACAAACACACACACACATGTACACACACACACACACCCTAGAGCCAATGAAAAGAACAGGAAAGAGTGACCCAGAAAGCCTGGCAGTACATGCAGGACAGTGAGAAAGGAGGGAGGAAGGGACAGAGCTATTATGTGTCAGCGCCACATCATGCCAGGCCTCTAAGCTTCCAAAGCCATGAAAACAAACTTAGATTCTAAGCTCATTCCTTTTATTAGATGTATACTGGGGACACACATCTACCAAAGGCCAAAGTTAATGAAGTTCAAAGTCTGTGTATTTTCAAGTACACACTTAAAAAAATCTTGACCCACCTATACCATCAACTTTCCTTATTGCCTAGTTTCAATTTAACAACAAAGAACCCTTTCACAAGACCACATGTGTGGTACCCACCAGTAACTCAAGGAGTAAAGAACAGAAAGGTTTACACAGCGAGGACCCTGTCACAACCTTCCTGTCTCCACAGAAATAACGACTAAGAGGACAAAAGGTATTGCCAATGGAATAACTGCAATCTGGAATCAAAGTGACACCCTCCGCTCCCACCACGCTCCCCAGAATCCCCAGTAATGAGATGAAGAATCACAATGAGCACAGATCTAGGTCAAGTTTGAAACGGACCCACAAATCAGAACTATGTTCTTCTAAAGCACACACTGACACAGCACAGCACTACACCTCCAAGGGTTCCAAGGACAGGCTTAGTGCCATGAGACTTTGAACCACAAAGAAACATTACCTCTAAGGGCTTCCATGATTGGCTGCACAGTCTCGGACCACTGGTGGGCGTTGATGGTGGTATAGATTCCTGGGAAATCTCTCTGCCAGATTCGCTGTCCTACTGACCAAATCCCCCCAAGTTCAGAATTTGCCTGCAATAAATATTGTTGCCTTTGAAGGAATTCACTCTGAAATTCTGAAATTAATTATGACTGTATCTTCAAACAAAATCTCAGAAATGACACCAAACTTGTTAGCTGTATCATTAAAACACACACTACTAGTTTTAGGAGATACAATTACTTTTCTAACATGAGTGTCCAACCTGCAACCCACAGGTCAAGAACAGTATGAACTGTAAAATCACTTTTTTTTTGTAACTTGCATGCCTAGTTCCAGACTCTGAACTTTGCAGGTGATAGAATGGTTTTGCAATGTCCAAAGGTTGGAACTGACTGGTTCTGAAATGTTGTGAGCAATAATGTCAACAATTTCTAAAATTAATGTTTCTACTACAATCACAAAGCATGTGAAAGTAAAAAAAAAAAAAAAATACTGTTCCAGATTCCCTTGAACGTGGATGTCAGTTTGAAGGTCTGGGCAATCTATGGGGCCTCTGGTAGTAGATCAGAATTTATCCCTACTACACAAATGGACTTTGGGAGCCCACTACACATAGAGGGATACTATCTCTGCCTAGACATGGGTGGGTGAGTGTGTGTGTGTGTCTAGGCCCTGCTCCAAATGATGTGACAGACTTTGAAGATCCCCCATGGAAGGCCTCACCCTCCCTGGGGAGCAGAAAGAGGATGGGATAGGGGGTTGGTGGGGGGCAGAGGAGGGGAGGGAGAGGGAACTGGGATTGACATGTAAAAAAAGCATGTTTCTAAAGGTTTCAGAATGAAGTCAGGGGACCAATTATCTTAAACCTAAGATGCTGGCATTTCTTCGGTTAGGACAAGACCAGCAGAGAGCTGGTTAGCAAGGCAATGTCCACTGCAGAGCCTATGTGCAGAGCTCTCTCCCGTTCACACCAGCTCAGCGGTCCCACTCACACCATGTGCTAATCCTGCCTCTTGTTTCACTCTTGCAAACAGCAGTTCAGGGTAAGGAAGGAAAGTTAAATAAAATCTTACTTCATGCTACTCGGCAAGAAACTTTTCTCAGGTTTCTGCATTTAGTCTCCCACCCCAAGTAAGAAATTTTAATTAACAGAGTGATCTTAATGCAGTGATTATCCACACAAACAATGCCAGTTTCCAAATAGCCGTCACTGCAGGAAACCAAGTAGTCTGCTGAAGTCCCCAGCCCTCAGCCACCACCTGCATCTGAACTGGGCAGCTGTGAACTGGCCAGCCCACAGGGCAAGGCAGGCCTTACTAAACCTCACCAGTACACCAACAAGATTTCTGTTGGAGAAACCTGAAGGTTTGTAACTTTCACATTCACTTAACAACCATTTCTGGGATATATATGGGAGAGAAAAGAGGAATTGGAAGCTGTCATTTATGTCAATGCCAGTATTTTCAAAGCAACGGGCACTGCAGAATACTTACAGACTTTATAGCAGGTGGTATCCTCTTCCAAAGATATCTTGCATTATTCCTAATTTACACAGAGATCAATTAAAACAAGTCATCTTAGCCAACACATAGACCGCCCAGGTTCTAACGTAAGCACATGAAAGAACACCTACCGATACACTTCGTGGACAAGCCAGTTCTGTATGAATTTGTTCTTCGGAAAGGCAGCTTTCCAGAAAAGACAGGAAAGAACCTTTTCCCAGGCAATCTTTTCCATTTTTGTTCAGTTTTTAAAATTAACAACCCAGATCCTAAACTAGAGCAACGCATTCAAACCACAGACTTACATTAAACTACCTGTACAACCACTCAGTATAAACAATGTATGCATTTAAAGGCTTTGACGTGTCCCCCACAATACATGCCAACACAGTGCTGCTGGAATTAGGAGCCCTTCTCCTAGTGGGCACAGGGCTTAAGGGGCTGGAACAATCATAAGAAAACAGAAATAACTTACATGTGTATACTGAAAATAACCCCAGTTTAGTTTCTGTGAAAACATCACAAAGGGTTTGGAGCTACCTGCGCCCTCCATTTCTAGCACACCCATGCCTTCTGCTTCCCACCCAGGAAGACTAATTAGAAACATGCCTAATGCCTCCTGACTCTTCTGGTGTTCCCTTCCAGCTTTCCTTCTACCGAGTACAGACAAGTTTCTGACACCCCCCCACACACACACACGGTTTCTCTGTATAGCCCTGACTGTCCTAGGACGCACACGTCTACCAGGCTGGCCTTGAACGCAGAGATCCACTTGCCTCTGCTTCCTGAGTGCTGGGATTAAAGGTGTGTGACTTCAGACAAAAGAGGACAGGTCAACGGCTCCTGACACTAGTTTTTTTCTCAAGAACCTGCCATGGTTTTTTTTAGGTGTATGTAAAACACACACACACACACACACACACACACACACAATTTCAAGCTTAATTGTTATTATGACTGAACAGGAAACATATAACAGGATTATGAAAAACACCTATGTGCTGTGTGTATACTTCTGAATAATCTCGAGGAAGCTAGGGCTCTTTGATTTAGGTAAAAGTACTACTTACATGTCATTCTGGAGCAAATATAATGCTAGAAGCTGACCGTATACTGGTGGTGTGGCAATTCCTCCAGGAGCCTACAGGGACAAAAAGCAGAGAGAAACCTCATTTCCTAATACACTTTCAGAAAACAGAAAATTCACATTTACGAAGTATTCGTTTCTTTACATACACACAAACATGTAAGTTGCAACACCTCGGAAGGTCTCAAACGTAAAAAAAAAAAAACCCCAACTCACGATTGTAGGAAATACTTCTAAAGTGTTCTTAAAGCACTGTGTCTCTGCCCACTGTTATTTTTTTTTAAGGCATCCAATGAATGGGTAATTATAGAGGTCCGTCTTTCCTCAATCTTAACCCAGTTCAGCAAAGGTCTGCTAAGTGCTCAGTATCAAGCTGCTGCTGTCTCCTTTAGTCGGGGAACAACCCCCCACCCCGTTTCTTTTGTTGTTTTGATTTTACGTGGCCCAGGCTGGCCTCGAACTTACCGCCAATCCTCCTGCCTGGTTCTCACGTGTTCCCCCAAGAGATTTCTGTGCCACCGCACCCAGCCTAGCTAGTGAACTTTATCTTAACGTTACAAATGGAAGCGTCTCCCGACTCCGGCCAGGAACCGGGGCGTGAGGAATCGGGGACATGCTCCCAGCAGGCCGCGGCCTGGCCCGTTACCCTGGAAACGGCGCCCACTTGACCGCCCCACCCTGCCGCGCTACCTCAAGCTCCTGGTTCTCGCACTGATCCAGCAGCTTTCTGAAACTGAAGGCGCTGTCCGCCATCACCGCCACTGGCATCTTCCCGGCCTCACTCGCCGCCACCGCCCCGCCAGACCAAAGCCCAAGCTGGCCTTCGGGGCGTCGCGCCCGCAATGACGTAAAGGCTGGTTCCGCTCAGGACGCATGCGCGAGCGTGCCGTAGCTTCCTGAGCGACGCCGTGGCTGAGAAAGGGGCGGTGAGCGCTCTGGCCCGCTGTCTCTGTGCTCTGGAGGACCCGCCGCCCACTTGAAAGAACCGGGTTTCTAAACCGGACCACTCCGGTTGGGAGGGGCTGGCTGGGACTCGGATCTTCTGCTCTTGAAGTTGATAACGGGAATGCGTCCTTCATAACCACAGTTGCACTGGGAGAGTAGTGAAACCGTTTTATCTCCGTGTGATTTGAGAACGCCGAACTGTGCACTTCATGTAAGCTAAGGTGTTACAAGCCGAGGAAATTTCCAGAGCTGAAACTCTGTTTGGCTTGGGTCTTGCACACATCCGTCTTCTAACCATGCACTGGCAGCCTGAGACCCTCACCTACATTTATTACACACACACACACACACACACACACACACACACACACACACACACACACACACACACACCCCTCTCTGAAAAATCACCTAGCAACTGTTGGCAACCCAGGACCCTTGGCTACAGTCTGCATGGAGCTGCAGGCACACCCTCTCCAAGTAATGGAATAACTTTCTCCTCCCCCTACTAACCGTTGAAAAGATTCGATTCAATATTACACCAGATATATACAAGATGAAGGTCTGATCTGGCCTGAACTGGTTTTAGGAGCCTGCCCAATATGGCAAACTGTGTCTTCTAAGTGAACTTGCTGGGAGAACTATTAACCATCTTATGCCTGTGCATACGCGTGGATGCATATGATTAAAATCAAATACATTATAGAAACAGACATACACAGTAGACAGAGGTAACAGAACTAAAGTCTGTCAATCAAAACAGTGCAATGCCCCTTAGCAAACAAATTTCTGAACCCCATAAAAGCCTCAAACAGTAATTGGGGCCCTGCCTAGAGTATTCTGTCTTATGTGGTTCACGGTCCGTGTTTCTGCAGTATTGCTTTGCTTTTGGATGGGGTTCCCTTGCTACTTTGCAAATCTGTGTGCCTGAATTTCAGTTCTGTGCATGAGAGTAAAACACACCCTGACCACCAAAAAAAGTACCTCCAGAATTCTACACAGTTCCCTGGACCTGTGAGCACCAACAACTGCCCCTTCGATGTCTCCTCAGGCCTAATTAGCAGCTCTGGAGACGTAGCTACAGCCTTGTGAACAGCACAGTATTCTAACACTGAGTTGTGCCTCTAGATCTCCTTTTACTTATCTGGAGACAAGGTCTTACTACATGGTCCAGGCTGGCCTTGAACTTGTGGAAAAATCTCCAGTCCTAACTCTCACTTCTTTCCCTACCTGTCTCCTGATCCACCCTCCCCATCTCAGTAGACTTCTGTGTGTATCTCATGAACACACATACACATGAAGGAAGTTTCTCTAGCTTGGGTCACTGATGTGCCTGATCTTTGGTGGTCTCCCGATAAGCAAGCCCTCCTCGACTCTTCCCTGCCCTATGAATTTTCTTTGAAGCATACACGGTATCTTTTTGCTCTTCTGCTCAAACTCATGTGAAAAAAAGGATCCAAGACTTAACCAGAAGCGCCACCTTGTAGACAGATGGACTGATTGGCGTTCCAGTGATTTTGGAGAGGGCAGAAGGCTACAGGGTTAGAGTATAGTTATACTCTGTCTTGGGCTGTCTTCAGTTTCCTTAGCATCTATTCCTTGCCTGTCTGTGTCTGACCTAACAGCCCTCTGATTGTCTAGTGAAACTTTTTGAAATACATTAGTATTATGGACTGCTGGCTCCTCAGAACTGTGAACACCCTCCTTACTCAATTATGCCATGACTGCCAGGTGGTGGTCTCGTCCCATCATTTGGGAGGCAGAGGCAGGCAGATCTCTATGAGTTCGAGACCAGCCTGGCCTACAAGAGCTGGGTCCAGGACAGCCTCCAAAGCCACAGAGAAACCCTGTCTCTAACCCCTCCCCCAAAAGAAGAAATTATGCCATGACTTGCTTCCCTTGTGGTCATTTGGAGGTCTGCTGGTCCTGCACTATTGTGTTCCCAGGTAGTTTTATATTTCAGGTATGGCAGGACAGTGAGGTCAAAATTAACATATAGGAGGAAGAAGGCTGGAAACCTGCTTCCCACCAAGATTGACACACACCAGAGTCTGGGCAAAAAGAATGTGTGTGCTGTGTAAGTGTCCCAGTCTGTGGTCAGTGTTAAGTGCCCCTGTCTGCCTTCCATGCACACTGAGAGTTTGACCTTTCTCCAGCTCTGCCTCACTTCAACGTTCAGAAAGGCATCTTTGCCCTCCTAAACTCTCTCTTCTATTCCTACCCAAGTGTCTCTGTCTAAGGGATGTAAGAAGCCGGAAGTCCCTGTGGGTGCCTACTGGACCCCATATTTGCCTGTAACAATGGCGCACTGTGAATGCTATATGGAATGGCAGTGGCGTGCTTATGACATAGATTCCCTCAGCTTGTGTGTGCTCTGTTGTCTTAAAGGACAAGAAAAGCCACATTTTAGAGAAACATATTAAACATTTTAGGGTAGCAACAGCTATCACTGATGATTTTAGTATAAGGAAGTTAAAATAAGGATGTTTAATGTTCTGGTTACAGTATAAAGAGTGGGGGCTGGAGAGATGGCTCAGCAGTTAAAAGCATATGTTGCTCTTGCAAAGGACCCGAGTTTCAGTTCCTACCACCCGCTTCAGGAAACTCACAATGCAGCTGCCTGTAACTCCAACCCTGGAATCTAATACCTCCGGACTCCAAGAGAACACACACACACACACACACACACACACACATCAATAATAAATATTTTACAATAAAATATAAAGATTTAAAAACAGTTACAATATTTTAATGTTTCACAAGGAATTGCCATTAGATTATAATTTTGACCTTTAAAGGCCTACCAGAGGGTCCATATGTTGGCTTAGTTCTCACCTTGGCATTCTTTGGGACTGCTAGAAACTTTAAGAGTTGAGACCTAGTGAAGGGGCCTTAGGGTCACTGGGAGCATTCCCTTGATGAGGACAGTGAGACACCGGTCCCTTCTCCCTTCTGTTTCACTCATGGCCATGAGGGGAGGTTCATTGCTCCACCACAAGGTCCCATGAGCATATGCTCCATAGACCAAGGACTGTGAGCCCATGTCTGCCTCCTCTCCTTCTGACTTACTTATCTCAGATATTTATTATAGTGATGGCAGGCCCACTAACACACAGCAGCCGGGAGAGCCCATGGCCACCAAAAGCAGAAGGAGGTGCGTGGGGTGGGGGAGATAAAGTAGCAGCGCATTGTTAACAGCCTTGAAGAAGAGAAGGGCTCTACTAACATGATCCGGATATCATTTACATAAAGCTGAGGACCAGGACCTACAAGTTCAGTAAGAGATGATGACTTTTCAGTCTCTTTGAGGCTGTGGGGGAAGTGTGGGCTCCTGAGGAAGGGTCCTGGGTTTGTGGGGGAAGTGTGGGCTCCTGTGGAAGGGTCCTGGGTTTGTGGGGGAAGTGTGGGCTCCTGTGGAAGGGTCCTGGGTTTTGTAGCCATGGCCCATCTTCCCTTGTACAGTTGTCTCTCTACCTTCTCTAGCCCCTCTCATGAGGCAGAGTGGTCGCTAGGAGGCTAGGAATCTTACCAGGGTACCCGATTCAGGATTCTGCACTTTCTACCTCTTGATCTATCTCAACTCCATTCTGGAGTTATTTAAAATACGTGAAGGCCCTGGAAGAAGAGATGTCCTGAAGGACTTGGGTTCCCTCTGGAGCAGTGGCTCTCAGCCCTCCTAACACTGCAACCCTTTAAAACAGCTCCTCATGTTGTGGTGGCCCCTCCATCATAAAATTATCTTTGTTGGTACTTCATAACTGCCATTTTTCTCTTGTTATAAATAATGCTGTAAATATCCAATGTTACCAATGGTCTTAGGTTGTTAGAACCCCAAAGGGGTTGCGACCCTGAGATTGAGAACCTCGGCTCTAGGAGGCTCCATGCTATCAATCCACCCTGGCCAGCAAGACTAAGTCTCCAAAGATTGAAGGAAATGCCAAAGATCTGATCGAGGGGATCAGGAGACTCAAGGAATTTGAGCTCATGAGTAGTGCCAACAAAGCACTTTTCGTTTTATTATTAAAGCAAGCAAAACATGAGGTGATGTTTACAGTTAATTTAAGCAAGTGCTAGTACCGTGAGGGAGTACACTGTATGAATGTTATCTTTGGTCCTGTGAAAGAGCCACGAGTATTCTCCCCAGACCTTTGCCTTTCCCGCAGAGATAATGTGGACATGCCTGGGCATTTCCTTCATGCCCTTGCTTTCGAGTGCATCAACTTATCATAGTTTGTGGAATTCTTTCTAGAAGGGCACCTTGTGGGAAGAACATTCCTTACTCTTCCCCTATCATAGTTCACAGTAAGTTCATGACTTTCTTCCACGGCTCCCACTCCATGTCAGCTGCCTGTTTGCTTCAGAATCAGAGTTGCCTCCGCTGGCCTTGATGCCACATCAAGCGAAACCAGAGAGCCCAGTCACTATGTGGCTGGTTCTCTGCCAAGGGTCTTCTGTTCCCTCTGTTCTTGGATTACACCATAATGCCAACTAGCATCACAACAGGAAGCAGGAAATGCCCAGGCTGGAGATATAGAGAGAATCAAATGAAAGAACCATTTACAGAGATGTAGGCAAGATGCTGGAAAACTATAGAGGACACAGCCCAGAACTGGTCAGAGTGACATCACGACCACCCTAAATTATTTAGGGGGTGGTCTGTTTCTGGGAGGGGAACAGAAGGCACCCCTAGAACTGTCCTCAATGAAATGGTAATCACTAATGACAACTGTTTCTAAAGAAACTCAGTCCTGAGAAGTGATTCAAAGGCCTTGAACCAAGAAGAAACATTCATTGAAGAAACTCCACTAAAATGTGGTGAGAAGAGTGACTATCTCTGGCATTTAAGCTGTGCATATGTCAAGAGTCCACTCTCCTTCACCTCTCAAGCAACGGGTCTGGAATCTC